AACAGGTGAAGCACATGTGTCAGAAAGCTTTGCCTGTTCAGTGTAGTGCTTAAGAATCAGTTAATCTCCTTCACTGAAGACAGATGGCTTCAACCACTTTTTTAACATTTTGATGATTAAGAAATAAAGAGCAGCATCAACCACAGCTGAATCTTCAGGATTAATACAGGTATACAGAATTCAATCACTTTTTATATGTATCAGGAAATCAGCCTGACTACCCTACATCCTGCAAAAATAACAGCATATATAAAGCTGAAATACTGTGTAGAGCTTTGTTGTTTTTCAATTCTCCCTGAAGTAATTTCAAATGTTAATTTTCATCTCAAGGCTAAAACCGTGGCAGCAGAAGTTTCTTTGCAAAGAGAAGTGTGGAGCTACCACACTGCTATAGTTCTGACAACTTTTTGCAACATAAAAACAAAAAACATGCCAAGGAAGTTAAGAGTATTATTATTCAAAGCAATATTTCTGCTTCAGATAACTGAAAGGGAACTTGCAGTTTGAAAGAAAATGTATTTTTGTTTCTGAAAACCCTTATTAAAATGTTCACAACATATACAGTTGTGTGTGGAAGAAAGACACGTATTTTACTGAAAAGGGAAGGAATATGAAAGGGGTTATTACAGTGGCAAGTTTATGCTGCTGTACTGAAGACTGTAAACATTTCCATTGCAAATATTTATTTTCAGAAGTTTATAACTCATACCTAAAAACTTCTCCTGACTGAAAGTTGACTTGATGTCTGCCTCCATAATGGTGAGAAGCTCAACATAACCTGGCAATTTGCGTTTGCCAACTGCATCAAAAGAAGCATGACCAGCAGGTCAAGGGAGGTGATTCTCACCCTCTGCTCTGCTCTTGTGAGACCCCCATCTGGAGTCCTGTGTGCATCTCTGGGGCCTCAGCATAAGAAGGACACGGACCTGTTGGAGTGGGTCCAGAGTAGGCCACAGAGATGTTCAGGGGGCTGGAGCATGTTCTTTATGAGGACAGGCTGAGAGAGCTGGGGTTGTTCAGCCTGGAGAAAAACGACTCTGAGGAGACCTTATAGTAGCCTTCCAGCACCTAAAGTGGATCTACAAGAAAGCTGGAGAGGGACTTTTTAGAAGGGCATGTAGCGATAGGATGAGGGGTAATGGCTTTAAAGTGAAACAGTGATAGATTTAGATTGTATATAAGGAAGAAATTCTTTCCTGTGAGGGTGGTGAGGCACTGGAATAGGTTGCCCAGAGAAGCTGTGGCTGCCCCCTCCCTGGCAGTGTTCAAGGCCAGGTTGGACGGGGCTTTGAGCAGCCTGGTCTAGTGGAAGGTGTCCCTGCCCATGGCAGGGGGGTTGGAACTAGAGCATCTTTAAGCTCCCTCCCAAGCCAAACCATTCTATGATATTGCATGTTTCACCCTGATTGTATCACCCTCACAGGAAAGAATTTCAGCAACACTCATCCAATAGTAAGAACATCCAGCACTGTGTGTGACAGTACATACTGTACCCATATTCAATCTAATCCTCTAAATAAAGGACCTGGTTAAAATTCATTGATTACCTAACTCATGGAAAAAAAGTCTGAGCTGCCAGTAAATTGAACAGATCATACAAGAGCTCAATATTCTGCTATAAAAAAAATTTTCAAAATTATATCCATGGGAACAAGGGATATATAAAACAAAATAGCAAGTTTTAAACTGCACCAGCTTGCTGGTTCTGCATGACCCAATATGCTGGCTTGTTATGAGGGATTCTTTTTAATCATGGTGACTCAGGTGCAGATCCCATCTGTTGATGCCAATTACAGCAGATCACCGAAAGTCTTTATTAGCTTTAAATTCAGTCTACCACTCACATTATACTTATCACATAAAAGAAAATTGATGTTAATTTTATAATTGAAATTGCGCACTCTGAATGTATTACTCTTAAAATGGAATTAAAACCTTTTTTGATTATTAGTTGAGAAAGCTTCCATTAGGTAAGTCTTTTAAGAAATGCTTCTCCCCCTAATTCAATTTAGCAGCAGGATGCTATGAAAGCCAAGGTGGAAAGATACCAGCCTGTATGTCAAACTCTGGTTAATATGGAAGACAGTAACACTTTAATAAACAGGTGATTATGCAACTCCCAGCTCTGTTAAAAGCAGATTGGTAGTCTATTACAAACTGATTAAATTTGCCACTTCTTCACTTCAAACAATTATATTTGCTCATTAACACTTGATATGTTGAATGCAGCTTAAGAAGAACATAGGAAAATTAAATATCAATCATTCTACCTCCTTAGAGATTTAAAACTGACTCACATAATGATATTTTCCTTCAAAGAACAATAGGCATGTGCACCCATGAAAGTTGCGGTGGAGGAGAAAAGGGAAAATGGGAAAAGTTATTTAAAGACTGATGTAAAGTAGACATCAAGGGAATTAATCACACAGCTTAACTGTTGTGCTGCATTGATGTGTTTATATATATCTATATGAAAGTGTGTTCCACAACAGAACATGAGCATTGTTGGCTATACTGCAAGCCATGGCTCGTGACAGGCTTACTAGTAAGAAAGACATACCAAGGCATAGTCTGACATGTGAAACAAATATCCTTCATACTTAATATAGAGCCTTAAAGGAATTGTAGAGATTATTTCCAGTTACCTTAACACCTTTGCAGAAGACACAGACTGCATCTTACTGGAAGTGTTACTATTGTGCAAAGGTTTTTTCAGGAAGCTGGGATACTGAAGAACAACACTAACTAGACTTTACACAGCTGCATCTATTAGGACGTTGCAGAGAACTATAAAAAGCAGATGAGTATTTTTAACCCTATTCTGCAGATGGGAAAGCTGAGACAGAGGAAGGAAAAGCAGCTTTCTCATGATTCTTCAACAGGCCAGGGACAGATCTAGAGAGGATACATAAACCTCTTGAGATCAGTGCTCTTCATTCCTCCAAAATGGATATACAAATCTGCTTCCCAACTGGCCTTAAAAAATAAGATGTTAAAGATATAAGGTATCAAAAAACTCACAGCCAGATTATTTTGAATTTGCTGTAAATTGTAAAAGCATTTAAAAATGAATTTTATAGTCTTCAGAGAGTCAATTTCTCATTGCACCGTGGGAGAGGATAGGCATCCCTGTGTGCATTTAGCTGCACCTACACAGAAGAAATTGATGGGACCTGCCCCAAAGAATGACAGCTGAAACAGTCATATATCCTTTACATCTTGGAACAAGACTTGTTTCCACTCCTCTTTATTCTCCTTCTTGACACCATATAAGGAAAAAAGTGTGGTAGATAAACTGTTGGGACTTATCTGGTATGCAGACTTCCAGTACATTATTCATATATTAATACATGGCTTTAAGAGCTGAAAGTACAAAAACCTCAAGCTTGGTATTTGTTATTCAAGTTGTTATGAGTGATATGAGTGAAATTTAAACTTGCTTCAGATAGGGCTCTCCTATGTCTATCAGGAAACTGTCAGTGAGATCTTCTGGTGAATCTCCTGATGAAAACAACTGTATTACAAACTGCAAGTAAAATGCCAACTGTGTATCTTTTTATTCCCAGATTAAAGGTGAAAAACAACAGCATCGTTAGCTACAGGTTAAATGGAACAATCCATTTTTGTCTTAGAAGAGGAAGGTGTAAAGGCCCAAAGTAAGTTGAGAAAATGCTGCATTTTTGTCCTACTTTTCCTATCTGGCTCATCTGTAGAAAGACTGTGGACTGAGGGATGTGGTGGGTGGGTAGCAGAAGCAGAAGCACATTTAAATGGCTCACATTCTAAGATCACAAATTCTAATTCTGGTCTAAAAGTGTAATATTGACAGTAGTAAGGCGTTTCTAGAAATAAGATCTGCATCCTGCCCCACTGTCGTCTGACACAAAGTAGCACCTCATTTGGGACTGTGGAGAGCTGAAGTACAAAAAGGCAGAGATATGAAGCCTCTCACTGGTAGAAGTGGGGACTAGAGGCTGCAGACTCTGGGTTACTTAGGGGACAACTGAAATCACAAGAACAGCTCTATTTGACATGGCCAACATTTTCCCTGCTTTGATAAAAAGTAATTAAAAAGTATGTATGACCTCTGAATGCAAAAAATGGTAAGATTATTATGAATGTACTATACTCAGTACTCCAGCTGGCTCTCTTAAGAGGTTGCGCATGTGTTGAAATAATGTATATGGGTGTAATTCAACTTCTTCAGATTCATGAGCAAATGCAGGAAGCATTGTCACAGAATACCTATTACAGAGAAGATTTCCTCCAAGCAGTGGAGAAGCAATCAAATCTTCACATGTATGCTATCCAAGCACAGGCAGAAGATTGGCATATTGTTCAATATTATGATTAAGCAGTCACAGAAGACTCATCTTTCCCACCCGTTCCAGCTCTGAACTTGACCAAAAAATAAATAAGAACTGCATCAGAATGGGCAAATCATGTCTTCAAAGACAAGTATAAATTGAGACTTAATTTGTGTCTTGACAAAGGAATATGTTCTTGTTCACAAGCAAGCTTTTAAATGATGGCCTGTAAAACTGTCTCTCTAGATCCTTTTGAAGAATACCTCTGCAAGTGTAGTATGTGTCCTCTACTAAAACTTGCTAACTGAAGTGTTTTGTAATTTAAGGACCTGAAGACTAGTTATCACTGAACAATTAAGAGAATAAGAATTTTCATGACACTTGTCCCTCTGAAAAGTTTACTGAATATTTCTACTATGACTTCTTTTTTCATGAGTAACAACATGTGAGAAACTTCCGCCAGAAAGGATGTATTTTGCTTTTCTACTCAAAACCTATGAGAATACAAAGGTACTTGACATACCTGAAAATTAGATAATAATTCAGTTTACTCACTTCTACCTAAGTGATTGAGCCTACTCTGTCCTGGATATTGATTGTTGCAAGAAAGCATATTAGAGAGTATTAACTGTAATCCAGGCACCAAAACCTCTTAGCCTCACGTAACCAAAAAAGAAAGGGTGATAAACTTACCTTGTGTAGCAATGTAGTGATTTGGTCTATGATAGCCCTAAAATAAATTGAAAAAAAAAAGTATAAGCAATATGAAACTCAGCTATGTTGCTATGAGTGAAACTTCATATAGAGTAGTATTCAGTAAAGATTACAACAATACAGATAAAATATTAGAAATAAAAGTTCTTTCCAATGGGGGAAGGGCAAAGGAGAAGGGGAACAAGAAGCAAATGTGTTTCTTCAAGATACTTAAGTTGCAGCCGTGTACATTAGGGGACAGAAGTAATATGTTCTTTCAGTCCCTTGTTGGCTCTGCTGAAAATGAACAGCATGAAATCCTCTCTAGCACTTGCAGCTAATGGCATCAGATGCTCACAGAGGCTGAGATACACCTCCAAGCTATTGCTGTTGAGTGCGAAGCCTTTTTTAACAGCTAAAGTATCCTATATTTGCATTCAGCCTGGGGAAAGGTGGGAGGATGTTCACTCTGTCCACTGTGATTTGTTTATGTTTTATTTCTGAACAGTAAAAAGGAGGGTAAATTCTTTGACTAAATGGTTTGGTGTGAATACACTTGTTCACATCTATAAAGGAAGAACATAAAACAGTTCTATGTTTCTGTGATGACAAGAGCAACTTAATCACAAGCTGGCCATGCAATAATGACTAATATTCTATGAAGTCTTTGCAACATTGAATAGGTTGCCAATAGGGAACAATACCATTTTTATAGTATTTGAGTATCTGATGTGATCCAAGTGTCAAAGATTTAGATCATGTGTTGATAGATTCAGTTATACCAGTGTTAATATTTTAATAATGGTTATGATGTGTTGTGTCATCAACTGGAAGAACTTCAAGCTGTTGCTTGCATGTCACTGCAATTTGTTTGTAAAAGAGCAACGAGCATTGTAGTGATACAACATGGGAAAGACTCAAAACAACTGAAGATACCTTGAATATTGCAGAAGGAATAACATGAATTACAGAATTGATTCCTTTGCATGCCATTGACACCAAATTTGGCTGTCAATGAACTGAGAAGTGTTCAGATAACCACAGAGTTGATTTTTTTCTACTATGTGTTATGTAATATCCCTAGTGGCTGGGTTCAAACACTTCCATTTCCCAGTGAAAAAATGCAGGATAACCACTGTTCCCTCTCTTTTATCCAATAAAATTTCATAGTGTCTGTGATGGTACCATTCCTTTATTAACATGATGACTGTACTAATAACCACATGCAAGAGTAAAAAAAAGAGTAAAGACTGCAGCTGCTTCTGTAATAGAAAAACAAGCATTTCTAATGGAAACCTGACTAGCAAGATTATAAACAAAAATTGCTGTGTTTTGTGGTAGGGTTGTCTTTGGAAGATGTCTGGAGTCCTCCAAGTTTTGCATCAAAGCCATCTGCTGAGTTTGGGGGGCGAATTTTTTGGTTCTCAGCCATTGTTTCTTTTAGGGCCATATTCTCTCAATCCTCTTGGACTTCCATAAGCAAAAAAAGGCTGCTACACAGCTATCTTATCAGCATTTTAAATGAGACTGTATGGTCCAAATCCTTATTCCTCACATCTTTTAATATTCTAAGAGTCAGAGAGTCAGACCAAAATCTAACACAAGAACATACTAGTAGCCTAGAATGAGAACAATCCTGAATGTTAGAGAAAGTGTGAAAGTGAATTCAAATCTAGGTCCCCAACGTGAACTCTTTCCTTTCATGACAGATTACTCCCTTCAGAGTTCAGTGAGATGTGTAACTAAATATATTTCCATATGTGCCTTTACCTCTTGGTGACTCTGCTATTCTTTCAAACAAGGGACTGAGCAGAAATCTAAGCTTAACTTAAAGGTTCTTGAACATGCTAATAAACATCTATAGAAGGAGGTATCTTCAGAAAGTTACAACTTCAGACTGTTACAACCGAAGTACCTACTTTTCTTGCATAGCTCTAGTTCCTCCATACTCTGAGGAAAACATCTGTTACATTCCTGTTTCATACTGATGATTAAATTTGAACTGCAAACTGTGACACCATTTTTCAAAGATGCCACGGCTGAACAAGAAAATCTTTAGCAGATACGGTATCCCATGAAGCAACACTAGTTTTACTTAGCCTAACATCTAGCACTCCATGTAAACAATAAAATTATTATCTTTGCTATCCACAGATTTCTGGCTTTAGATAGTACTAACTTTCTAATGATTTTCAATGCTACTTCTGAGTACTTTCTTTCAACCAAAACCACCTTGTCTCTTAAAGAATTTATTCTAATGTAAAACATTAAGCTAACATGATGCAGAATGAACAAAGAAGCCACCTTCAATAATTAAACAGCCTACATATTTAATGAAATGTCTTGCTTGCATTAGAAGTACTGGTTAACAGCTGCTGAATATACTTTGAAGGCGACTTAAAAGTGCAGAGATGACAAGAGATTGCAAATCTCTGCATTAGGCATTACAGAGTTTTGTCACATTAATATGCAAACAGCTTTCTTTTAAATGTGGAATGATGCCAAGCTGTTGACAGAAAGTGAAAACAGCATTTTGTTAGCCCATATAAGCACAGCAGGCAAAGTAGCCATACAGTGTTGCTGGCAAGGTTTCAGTCTAGTGGTAGTTGGAGGAAATTACTCCTTTCATTTGCTTATTGATAAAACCTTTGAGACTTTTTTCTTTTTTCCCCTTTAGTGTACACCTAGCTTCCAAAGACAGTACTTTCCAACAATGTTTAGCAGCTGGTATTAGCTGTAATATCTATTACGAATCATGAATAATGTGAGAATGATAAGAGCTCCCTCTTTGAGCACAATGTTAAGTTTGTTGAATACATCAGTATACGCACATCAATATAATTTCCATTGATGTAATCAGAACTTGTTTCTCCTTCAATGGGCTGCAATCTCACTCGAGAATGATCATCTGAAATGGGAACAATGGAGAGGAAAAAAGTAATTAAAGACAAATTCAGTAACAAAGCCTTCATCAAAATACTACTTTAAAGTCAAACTAAGACCTCAGCCTTTGCAAGCTCATGCTTGTTTTGTTTTACATGAAAACATTGTATCCACATTCAATCCTCATTTCAGTCACTGATAAGGCTTTCCAAATCCACTCTGATTTTCAGTCTGAATGTCTTAAATATTTCTAGTGGGAAATCCATTGTAATTATGTGTTTTGCCTTGGTATCCCTTGTCTTTTGTCAATAAAATAAATAACTACGTTATCAAAGGTTTAGTCATTTGGAAATGCTTCTGCCAGTACTCAAAATAAGCTGAAGTCATTCTACAAGACATACTGCCACCTCACAGTTTCTGAAGGAAACTCATTTTGTTTTCAGTAAGGGAGAAAGCAAAACCAAAGAAATGACAAAACCCAAACAGTCAGATAATGGCTTTGTGACTGAGTTTTGCTCCACTGAGGCCATCTATATCCACGAATGTGCAAACACTTCCAACTCTGTTTTCCAAATTCCAATCCAAAGCACCATGGCATGAATTTGTTTCTTGTCAGTTGTCTCATTTTCTTTATGATACCACATCAGTGATTAAGAAGTGCTAGAGGCTAGATCCTCCCCCCAAAAGAATCTGTGTGCTAGCAGGGCTTTTTCTTCTGTGAGACTTCATATGCTCCTCTTGATTCTCTTGGTTCAAAAGCAACCAAACACAATGGCTCTTCCAGAATGCTTCACAAGTTGATAAAACAATTTGAAGGTATCATCTCAAGGATGAAGAGATGGTAAATAGCCACTGCTGCCTTGTTTACAAGTTACTCTTGCTAATTAGATACCTGTGTATTACTGGTTTTGAATGCTGCTTGCTAGCTGAGCTAATATTACTTGCAGCTGACAGACCTTCAGGACTGTCATGATTTTGTTGTAAATGTAAGCAAGCATTAGAGCACTTGAAACTTGCCACCCATGTATTTAATAGCTATTTTTTTCAGCTTTAAAAATACCAAAAGATAACAAATGAATGAAAGAACATGAAATGGCTTAAAACCAGAACTTCATCATAAGTAGCATATTGGCCCACATTATGGGGGAGGAAGGAGAGGGAAAACAATTCTTAAAATAACATTGTTTTAGAATTACAAGTCAAGACATTTTCAAATGACTGAGTAGGAAGGGAAGAGGCAAATTCTTCATTTCATCCTCTTTTATGCTCTGAATCTCAGGGACTAGAGATCTTAGAGCTTCATATGTTTCCCTGGGATTCCCTTGGGAGAGAGAAAGGGAACAGGTTTTAAAAAAATATAGTAAATCAGAATGAATTAAAATTCCAGCTCTAGGTCCCACACCACTCTTATTTTGCTGTTTTCTTGTGATTATCTCACCTAACAGTTTTCAAGAATGAGTTTTTCCAAACATGCTAGAATATTCAAATCAATTATGTTAATCAGGTCAGCCTTTTCAGCCTCTTTATTTACTTTTCTGAGACTAAAAATTTATAGAGATGTGACCCTCCATTACATAACCCATGCTGTGCTATTCTCCGCTTAATTAAGGTATTTATCAGTTTCTGCAGAACAAAGGTTTGACTCACAGGCCCTTAATTCTAAAAATCCATTTTAAGAAAGATACTACATTAGGGTCTTTCTAAGCTCCAGACATGGCTGCTGCTTTTCGAGTTTTGGGACCTGATCCAACTTCTGCTAAAGTCAGCAGAATCCAGCAATCAAGCTTTCTTGGACACACGGTATGTCTTCATCCACGTTTTCATGATTTCCTGCATCATTGCCTTAAAAGCATTCTCACCAGGACAACTCAGGCTAGTAAAGATCTCCACTTTCATATTTTCTGAATTACTTAGGGCAGGATTCAGTTGTCCAAGCAGAAGCATCTCATTCCACTTTATATACCCTAGCATATACTGCCTAGCCTTCAACTGCCACTATGGAGTAACACAGTTCTCTCATGTGTACTGTGTCACCTTTGCTGGTCCTGCACAGATATCCTAAGTCACCTGAAATGTCACTACATGTCTATGTTTAGGCCACTGAATCCTGTCTGATGATTTGCACACCAATGAGTTTCATACTGGGCAAAACAAGCTTAAATTTCCCACTAAGGACTATCTTAAAAATGTAATTTCCTGTTATTTCTTTTAGACTGATTTATAAATTGGGTAATATACAGTGGTATCTTTATCTTTCCTGTTATTTTTAAATTTTATTTACTCCATTCTTTCCTTGCAATAATTCTTGCTTCAGATGGGGCAAAACTAAGTAAATTACTTCATACCTATATCTTCATATCCTCTTTTTGTCCTTTTTTCTTTTCACATGCATCCTTTCTTGTACTGCATTCTCAGCTAAGTTTCTGGGAATTCTGGAGGTAATGAACTGTTTGATACCCATTTATTTGCAGTGGAGCTGGAGTGACTCTCTTTTTTCACTGCTTTGGAAACTCTAGTTAACTCCTTACTGCATGGCAACACCTCCTAATTTGAAAAAACAACCTTTAGTCAACAAAAAGAAATGTTACTGTGTCTATGCTTGTGCTTATGTCAATTAGATTTAAACCTAAGAGGTAAACAAGCCATATATTATTCCAACACTTATGTTGATTCTTAAATAGCCTCTAGGTTAACTGTCTGGATTCTTAGGATATTTTTTTTCCTTTATACTTCATCTGCTCTTGACAATTTTTGTAGCTTTTAAATCTTTTCCAGCTCATTGTTGATACCCTTCTATTAGGAGATCAAACTTAACTTTGCACTGATCACTTAAGCTTTCAAAATTAGTTATGTTAGAATCCATTTGTCTTTGCAGAAAACAGTAATAGATAATGAATATAAGCATTTTATTCTTGATCCCCTCATGTTACCTACATGTATATGCCAGTCTGCAGACTGTGATCTCTAACAAGCCCCTTGAGTAGCTGGTTGATTAGCATGCCTAGCCAATGACCCTTTCTTGGGACGTGCCTTACTGATTCTTTGCAACTCAAGCCTTTTATAAATGTCTCACCTAAAATCTTTAGCTGCTTAAAAAGCTGTGATCAATATTCTCTTTAGTCAATACTGAGTTGGATAAAAATACAGAACCCCTCCCATTCTGAAATTACCTCAGGATCTCTCCTGAGTAAAAACCAATAGATTTTGCCAAAATCCATGCATAACCCTACACGATCATGACAGAAACAGAATTTTTCTTAGGTAAAAAAGATTAATTTAGCAGATTCATGCCAGTTTTAGTTCCTAATGAGAAAACACAACTCTTTTTGTGTTTAGTAAAGAAGCAGCATGTTTTCTGTGGATAACAGGACTATGATCATGATTCAATTTGTTTATACAGCAGCTCACAAGTTGTAGCCACTTTCAGAAAATGGGTAGGGCATGCTTGTAGCCAATTAAATGCACATCACTTGGGTAATATAAAGCATATTGCCATTTTGACAAGTTCCTGCAATGCTGGCCGATGGTGCTATTGTTTTAGTACCCACAGAGAACAATAATGACTACAAGCAATAATGTAACAGTAGTATCTTGGGGAAAATTTAAACAAAGAGGATAAATGGATGGAAAAAACTACATTAAATGCTTTATAGAAAAAAACCCATACATTTAATTATAATAATGTACCCATAGTCAGTGGCATCTGAACCATCATATTTTTAAGTCTTTAAACATAGCATAAAAGGGCAATTTAGTATAATTCTTTTCAGCTAAAGAAAATACTTTATACAACTATCTGGGACAAATTTTCAAAAGTGAACCACTAGAATTGTACTCTCAGACTCTGAGACAAGCGATCATTTATCCAGCAGAAAAACACATAAAATAATTAAACAGTTAACTACCCAATTTGCATACATGTATTTAACAAACGACAAACTGTGGGGCAGTTTCAGCCTCTCTTTTAAGATAGAGCCTTTAACTCTAATGGATTTTAATTTTAACTTGTGTTATCTGTGTTTTCACAGCCACATAAATAGGAAGTGTTATTGATAACAATTCCATCCAAGTCTTTCCCCTTGCTGAATACTAAGGACATTAGTAGTAAATTGAGATCTAAATGAGCTGAGTTATATTTGCCCTCTCAGAAAGCCTTCCGTATCACTTGTAGTTGCCATTGATTTGTGTATCTAATATCTTTTACTTGTTTTCCCTTGGCTACTCATCACTTCATTACCTCAGACATATAGCACTGGTAGTCTTTTGTTTTCTTCAAAGTATAAGCTGATGTCTAACATGCCATTAAAGAGGGGACTGACAACACTAAACCTGGCGAAAAGAGAAGATCTACTGTCATAGGCTTGGAAACAAAATTTCACAAAGGAAGGTTAAGCATAAAACTTTTTGGTATTCTTATTTATGCACAGTATTTTTACTTAAAAGATAATAGTCATCTAATGTATTGCTTCTACATCCTCAAAAAATAACAAGTTTCTTACACATTAAAGATTGCTTAGAGGAAAAAAAACAGAACCACATCTAGCTAATTTATCTTCTTTTGCATATTCTCCCTAGAAGGTTTCATTTCCTTTTTCAGTAAGTAGCAGAGTATACATCCAAAATACACAGCAATACTATCGTGTCCATTCAAATTGATGTGGCAGACAGCATCTCTTGCTTAACTTTCCTTTGCCTCCACAAGCAGTTCATGTGGGTTCTCCTTCTCTGTCTGCAGCAAGTTACAGAGCTGTTTTCTCTTGTAGACTGTCTCAGCACAGCTGGGTCACAGTGATGTAAGGGCCTATTCATACCACCTACTGTCTGTCACTAAGTGAGGAGCTGGTCTCTCTAGACTTGTTATGCAAGCACTGCAGAGAGGACCTCCTGAGGTGGTGATTCAGAAGCATTCAAATGGGCTCTACTGCTGAATCATTTCTTCGGAAGAGGTGTCCTTCTCTCTCTCAAGACCATGTGGTTCACAGATGAGGAAACCTAGGTAGACCTGTGCCTGGACAAGCACCTAGACCAGGTGCTTAAGTTAGGCAGCGTAAATACGCACTACATAGTCCTTCCATAGGTCCTCCAAATGTTCAGACAATCAGCACGGTTTATTCTTATATGCTGTCTCATGTACCTTGGGTTATACATGACTTCTAAACTCCAGCAGTATCATTAAATGATCTCTCTTTAAAGGCCATAATTCGTTTTCATGCTTACAAAACTTCTGATGTGCTGTGACTGCTGCTTATTTCTCTGCTTATACCTGCTTCATGATTACCTGTCTGGCTGGCAGAATCACATACGCTTTGCATCTTAGACTTAGATTTTGAAGGAACAATCAGGGAAGAGATCATCTCCTACACACACACTGTGAACTTAACCTTTAAGTGCAACAATACCAGTGTGTAAATATAATAAATATATTATATAATAATATATATAATAACAATATATAAAAATATATAACTCTAGCAAACTTGACATTTTCTGCCACCTTGTTCATGTGCAGCATCTCTTGACACAATATTCTGCAGTCTCAATGCCAGATTTAGGGGTCATTCACCAAAGCATGCTATCATCTCCTCAAGTTATTTGATTATATCTAATCTTTATCAAGCTTGGTATTTTTAAGTTAAACATACAGATTCTGTTTTTTCTCCTTAGAGTCTGTCTAGCATTAAGAAGGTAAGTCAGGATAGCTGTCACTGTTATTAAGGAATACTTAAGCAGCAGTATTGCCCACTCCTACAGTATCCAGAACCCAATATTGATGCAATCATGGGTACACTTCCACTAAGCTGCCAGGAGCAGTTTAGGAGCTGTTGGAGCTGAGTACTGGTTAAAGGTGTCATTCTCCATTAGCCAAACGTTGACCACAGCATGGAAGGTATACAGGAGGCTAGTTGAGAAAATGCATTAAATCTGACAGTTTCTCAAAAGGAAAAGTAACATCTTCCCTCACTTCTACCTTCTTAATTAGGGAAGAGGAATATAAGACTGATGTGAGCACGAGGCTGGTGGTCATTCTCATCCAGTTATGAAGGGAATTTAACACAGCGCACAATTATGTTGTCAACACTTACATGCAATGATATTCCCATATCTATTTTTCATTCTGTTCTCATCTTTCTTAGCTGAATCCCATGGTGCAGACTGTCCTTCAAAGAAACTCTAAAAAAACGAAAGAAAGTGACATTAAGAAAAGCATGCAGCAACAGTTACCTTACAGATAAACCAAGGAGAAAGTCAAACAGTACTTGCAGGTATTGTTGTTAAAGTGTCATTTATCGGATTCTTTTACTGAGCAAAAATATGAGTCTCCTGTTTAAATGGTATTTATGCACAGCTCCAGATGTTATCTAAACTTTGACATGAAATTATCTGTGTAATAGCAAGAAGAATTATTTGCACCTGAAGTGCTATTAAACCTTTCCAAAGTTGCATGCTTGCAACACTATGAGACCTTTATTTGTGCTATCCAGATTCTCTGCATAGTTCTCGCACACACAGATGAAGCTGAAGGAACTTCATCATCAGTGTTGGAGTTGCTCCAGTATTTGAGAGCAGAATTACACACTGTACTAACACGTTTTATTTTTGACATATCCACAAGTTTCAGTTACTTCTTGGCAGATGACCTCATAGGTCTAAATATATCTAGGCATTTAAAAAATGTGGATTCAACTAGCATGTACGTGTCTTTTTTTTAAACAAAATTTATAATACCAAGATGATTATGCTGTCAGAGAATAAAAATAATGTGATTTTGTGAAAGAATATTCACCCAACCTCTGTGCTGTAGTTAATAAATTTAAGGTAAATAAAGTTGAAGGTGCTAAAAATATATTTTTACATTAATAAAACACACAAGCTGCCAGAAAGGCAGCAAGTAAGTTGTTATGTCCTGTCTTATGCATTCTGTGGTGTAAAAGAGCATTTGCACAATTACTTAAATTACACACTGTATCTGGAAGCCATATAATGTAGATGCATTTTACAATTTCATATTGAAATAATCTTCTGTTAAAAATATTTAGTTACCAATCAAACCAGTGGAATTCTATAAGAATGATGGTTGGTCTTAACTCATGTTTTGATCTTTTCACTAGAATGATGAGTAGATTAAATCTTTTGATTCAAGAGGGACATGAAGATATATGATTTACTTTTCTGGTAACAGAAGCCAAAAATGGCTAAGTCCTAAACTAAACAGGAAAAACCTTGGTAAGTTTGTATCTCTTGCAAGACCTCAACACATTCTGAGTGGTTTAAAATAGATAATGTCCATTAAATGGACTACCATTAGTATCCTTTGCCCTCATACTTGAAATACATTGTTGCTCAAATTGCAATGATTTCCATTAGTAAAGAGCATGAAAGTCAAAATAAATTCTTGATCTCTTGTTGAAGTCAATGGAACACAGAGGCATTCACTGTCTCAAATATGTTTTCCTTTGAGTAGTTCACTAGAGTGCTGGTTTCCAACTTATGATATAGAAATTCCTGGGAATACACAGACTATTTCTAAACAGTTTGTAAATAATAAGAAAAACAGAAGACTTGTCAAAAGGCTTCAATTTGTCTGTCCATCTCTCTACATCTCTTCAGAAAATGTTTAAAGGTTTGCAAATTGAAATGATTAAACCCCACTAATATAAGTAAGTTTCTCCTTAATCATTGGGTACAGCTCTGAGAAATGCAGATTGCTGCCAGGACAGAGAAGTGGAACCTTGTAAACCCTAAGATGATTTACCAATTTGTGGCTGTTTGCCAAAAAGGCGCCAATCATTATCTGATTATGTATCTGCCAATGGCATCTAAAGCAAGCAAGCTGTCCCACTCCAGAGCACTCTCAACTCGGGCTGGATGAAAATACTTTTGTAATAAGCCACACTGAATTGCATAAGGAATTGCTCTCCATGGGCAAAGACCTATGTCTCAATTTCTTGCAAAGTTCACACTTACTCTCAGATCACACTAAATGATGAACAATTAAAGACAGTTAAAGACAAAACAGAGATGTAAGTTTTCAGCAACAAAGCTCCAAAGGCAGAACAATCTAGTCATTCATCCAGTCTAAAACTTGACCTGGTATCTTCCTAAGGATTTTGTGTTTCCAGCAGCTAGGTAGACTATAGAGAACTCCAGTTTTCTTACAGTCCTTCTGCTAGAGACTGGTTCACAGAACTGATCTATAAGACAGTACCCAGCAAGTAGTTTTGGGTTTAATTCACTAAGCATTACATGTGCTGTTACAGAGAAAGAGTCCTGCTGATACAGCTTCCAAGCCTACACCTTGAAATATGGAGGACCAAATATACTCGTAAGGACTTCTTGCTTCTCCCTGTCCCACTAATGAACTTCTACAAAATTGCTTTAAACCAATCGATTAAAGTAAATCTCTGGAGACAACTTGGAAAGATTTGTTCAGTATTGAATTCAGGGAAGATATACAGTAGGCAATGTACTGGTTTGGGCAGCTCGTCTGCTTCTCATCTGCTAATGTACAGGTTCAATCTCTCTCACCTGTTTGGAACTTCTGAAAACAATGATAAGCTTAATGAGCCTTACAGATAAAATATGTCCTAATAATATATCTGCAACACAGACAATTCTATTCTTTAGAATACATATATATCAAACCTCACACAACAATGAAAACCAGCAGACATATTTACATTTCCAGCTACTGCATATTGACTTAACTTTCTTTATTAAAAATGCATTATAGAAAAAGAACACCAGATGTATATTTTTCTTTGGGTTTTTATCAATAAATTAGTGAATGAACTAAAACCTATCACACAGGGAAAAATAGACGTAATTTATTTAAATCCATTTTTCTTTTTAATTCATTTTGGGATACACACAGGTATTTCAGTGAGAAGTGTACAGAAAAGATAATTTGAAGGAAGAGGTATTACAGTGCAAAAGCAAAAAAAGAAACAGCTATTGTAAAAGACAGCTGGAGTGTCATTTCCTAAATTCCCCATGTGCTGCCATTATACAAACCACAACAGAACGATAATCCACAATGAATTATAAGGAGAAATCCCATTTGTCCCAGAAGTAAAGAACAGAGCAGATACCTCATAACAGATGAACTGTCAAGATCTTTCCTTACTTGTGAGAAATATACATTTTGTTACAGAAATTCTTTTAATGTCTTTCCTGACATATCACTCTCCAGGGAGACTGCTGCACAGCAGCCCACACATTATTTTAGTGGCTATTCATTCTAATTCATCCTTAAAAGTTTCTTAAAAATGTGGACTATTAGGAAGAAATATGCCCCCAAACAGCTTCATTCCACAAAATATCTGGCAAGGGCAATGGAGAACTGAAAATGAGTGTAGGACATTTCTAAAATAATTTTAAATAAGTATTGCTTTAACCCAAATCACACAGAACCTGCTGCCCAGCCTTCATGATCTACTAGAAAAATGAAACACTTCCCAAGCCAGCTGTTGATACAGCAGACATTTCAGTATGCAATGTCAACTGTCATTCTGTTATTAGAAAATATTTCAATAATCTGGATAAAACAGTTTTAAAAAAAGAGCCTGAATAATACAAAACTGCTGTATATGCAACATGAGAACTGGTCAGTGATGCAGCAGCAGGATCATTTTAGGATGAATGTGAAGCTTTTGCTTGCTTTAACTCAATGCTGCAGTGGTTTCCATTAAAAATTAAATATTTGCCAAGGGCTAATTCACTGTGACCCTCAGACTAGAAAATAACTGCAATATCTCAAATGAGAGGGGGAGATAATTATTGCAAATACAGATTTTTTTTTAAATTCCCTTTCCTCATTTAAAATTCATAAGACCAGAAAATATTGGAAGAGATCTATATAAAAATACAGTTTGAAGAGGCTGGAATGTGGAGAATGGGGTGAGATCTTCAGGATACAATTTGTAGCTTTTATTGATTGTAATTTTTTTTTGACTGTCATTTTTGCCAACACACTTTCCATCCTGGATTTTCATGCTTCCAATTAAGAATAGTAAAAATAACGCATCATTATAAGCACTTTAAGATCTACAAATGTAAAGTGTTGAGCAGAATTACTATTTTTATTATTAATCCAAAACTAAGAGGCAACTTTTAAAAAAACACTTTATAGTTGCTAGGTGACAACAGTGTAGTCTCCTACGATGTCATTTACAAAATGCAGGCTTTTACAAGCAAAGAAATGAGAAGTTAAGGACATTATAAATCTTGCTCTGCCTAATTAATAAGCAAGATTATTATTCACAGGTACAAAGAAATGCATATTTCACTGTGTAACAATCTTAAGTTTGATCTGTGGATTTGTTTTTAAATGTATGATTCTTTACGATTTCTGATTTTACCAATTGACCCTAAGTTTCTCCACTGATAACATCCAGTTTTCATTGCTGTTTCTAGATAACCAGATTAAGATGTACTTTAGCAAAATGAGCAATTTGACCCATTCAGTTACAAATGTCTCTGGATTTGTTTTTAAGCTACATGCAGAGAGTTACCCATGCTGTCTACTTTAGGCTGGACCAGACAAGTAATGGCGGTCCTAAGGGAGGTCCTTGTCTGGACTCAATTAGCTACAGAAGAAACTTACATTTCTATCGTAGGTCCTTTGCATTGAAACTAAATTAAATGCCTAAAATTCCCTGAATTGGATAGTGAAGATACATTGCTAGTTTTACTTAAATACATCACCCTTTAACTACTGCCGTGTCCACTTTATACGTGGAGATTACAGATGGAAAAAAAATGCATCCATTAAACTCTGAATTAAGATACTAGTGTCGCATTAGACTCTTCTTTGTATTTACAAACCCCAGTAAATACACATTTTATTTTAAGCAAGTCCATAAATGTTTGGAGGACAAGGGCCTTCAGGCTCATTTAATGAACAGTGAAGATTTATGAGTACAGTAAATCTGTCATTTCATTGGTTTTTCAGTATTCAGAATCTGCAAAACATCTGGCATGTGAGGATGTTCTGTTACTTAACAACAAGAACTGTTTTTTTTAAATAGAAAATTGAAATAATCACATCCAGTTTGCTGATAATTATGTATTCAGATTGTTAAGGAATTAAGAAGGAAGAGTTATTGATATGTTATAGAAATCTGCAGAGGTCCAAGCTATGAAACAACATTTTTAATCTTCTAGTCACTTTG